GCTTTGCACAAGGCATCGTCTTTCAACAGCTCTGGCATTTCTTCGTCAATTTGGACCAGCCTGTGTCAGGTTCTGGAGGTTGGCCGCGGATTCCTGTGTCGTCAGCAGGACCAGCACCCAGCTTCCTCTCCCCACCATCGGTGGTCACATGGATTCACTTCAGCCAACCTGACAATGCCTTCGTTCAGGTATGAAGGCAAATGTGTCCTTTGCCGTTAGAGCGCCTGTCTGGTTGCTAAGGTCGCGCACCATCAGTTCGTGGAATTGTTTGTCTCGGAGGATTCCATGCACTCCGGTGGTGCGCTGCCCCTGGGCATTTTGCGCTGCAGCAGTCGCCCGGGGGATTTGCAAAGTCAAGACGCCGCATATTTGTCCAGCATGAGAGCCTGGCGCACCACCATTTGGGGCCTTGACGCAAATACCAGCTACACATTCAGCTGCTCTTTGGCAAACTCGCGTTTTGCAAGTGGTACCTTGAGAAGTGCCTCTTCCCCAGCCACTGTCAGCGTGCAACCTGAAGTGAGGGCACCTCTGCCACCAGAGATCCAGCGCGTGTTATGGCGCAGTGATGACGAAGCGCCAGAAGTTCAGATAAGACTTCAAGATTCCTACTTCATGGATTTGCGATGCTCAGCATTTGAAGCAGCAGATGCGGAAGAGAGCGTTGTGATGGAAGCCTCGGAGACTATGCGAGTTTCAGGCTCTTCAGCATTTTTTTTTGTTTGGGGGGGCGGGGGGGGGGGGGGGGNNGGGGCGGCACTTGTTCCTAGAATTCAACATCAGTTGGGAAAAGCGAGGCAAAAACAAGTTCTTACTCTGACAGCCTGCGACGCGAGCGCAAGAGTAGAGAAACTATGCGAGTAGCATGTATGGATTGGGGCTTTGCATTCCAATCATGTTTTCTAGATGTGGTCTCATCCCACCATGTTGCAATTTTTTGTTGCAGGTGCATCTTCGCAGCTTCGTGAACTGGTGCTGCAGCTGCAGCCCAAGGACAGGCTTTTTTGGGCAATGTATGGCAATGTGTTGTGAACCCTGAGAAAGCAACCATGTCCCAAAATAAAGGAGTCCCAAATCGCTGCGGATCTCAAGCTCAGCTGCCAATCAAGAGCTTGTGAAGTTGGTCTTGGCTGCGTTTGGGGCAGATCCACGGAGCTAGTCCTGCCTCCTCGCCCCAATCAACCCACAATCCAAGCATCTGAAGGCATCGAGGGTGCAAGTTAGGGCAGTTTGGGGACTCCGCTTAGCTTTGTTGGGGATGAGGTTTCTGAGATCAGTCAGGCAAGATGGGCTTGTCAGTGGACATCTACTGGGAAGACGATTGGCCGCTCCTGGAGTTGCTGTGTGAAGCCACCAGCGCCTACAGCATGGCAAGCGCGCACCAAGTTGTGAACCAGAGCATGCACTCGCTGTCCAACATCACCTTGGACCTTGCCCTGGAATCTCTCCTTTGCATCCACGTGCCTGTTTCCTTCTTTTCATGCCGCCATAGTTTGCCTTTGTGATTCGTTGAAACTTAAGGATAGATTGCCCGGGCCCTGTGTAGTTTCCTGCATCATGCGCCGGCTGGGCAACAGCTTCGTATTGGAGAGCTATGCAGTGCACGAGGCATCAAAACCTGCCAATTGGATTGCGTCAAAAGACACGTGCTCGAATCTTTTCAGTTTCGGAGGTTGTCTTGCTCCAAAGCCGCAGGCTTGCCATAGAGGCGTCAGATGGTGTTTGTTTTGGGCGGATGGTACTGGTGCCTAGGCATGCCAAGAGCCTGCCAGGCTCCAGACCCTCCGCAAATTCAAGACATCACAGTGATTGGACGTGGAACGCTGTCTGTGCGCCTGGCGGTGGCTGCAATGCAGGCCAGCTTTTCCTGTTTCAAGGGCAGTCCGTTTCAAGATTCACTGTCAGGATGTGGTCTATCTTTGTCGGGACCTGGCTGGAAGCGGTAAGCCTGGCGTCTCAGCAACATCGACGGTCTCGGTTTCGGCCCTGGTTCCAGGCTTGTGTGATCGTCTGTAGCCCTGCGCAATCCTGCGCATGCCACGTTTGCAGTTGCTTTCAGGAGTCATGCACAGGATTGCCTGCGCTGCGTTTGCATCATCTACCCAGTCTGATTTCTCAGCAGCGCTGGCAGCAATGCCAGCCCGGCGAGCTCGAGCACCAGAAATTCTTGCACTCATTCCAGGCCGAGCACGCTTTATGTCCATGGCTTCGCAGTGCCGCTTCGATCGCTGAGCAGACGTGATTGCACATTTTGTTGCTGCTGTCCACAGGGGATGCGGAGATCCGTGTCCAGCTGCTGCTGCCAACTTTGCCGAGCGACGCAGGTTTTGCATCCGCAGTAGGCGCGGTATTTTGGTGATTTTTGGTGCGGGGCCAGTCTGTTCGGATGAGATTGATTGATGGAGCCCACTGCCACTGGCAGGTGCCAGATGTCTTGGATCTGAATTTGAAGGCTTCGGTTCAGTTGCTGTGGAAAACCCAGCTTCCGTCACCGTTCGTGCTGCGCTGAGTTGGCAGAACTGGTGAGTTGGGTCAAGGCGTCACATTGACATGCGGCAGCATGTTGAACTATGCTTTTGGTCATTCTGCAGGCTTACCCGGCACGAACGGTGTCCAATCGCATTTCAAGTGCTACCTTGAGACTGTGGCTGGACTTGGTGAAGCTGTCAACCACGTCGCAACGCCAGGGATGCCCGTCGTCGCCTGTTCCATGGCTGAGGGATGCGGAATGCTGTCTTAGCGTCGGATTTTGCAACGTATGCATTGTGTCGGGAAGGCTACCGCCTGCCAGCAACACACATGCCAGAAAGCCTTCTCCGAGACTTCTCTGCAGTCTCTGCACTGCATTTGCAGCGTGGGCTTGGCCTTGCCTGTTCTGCGCTGCACGAGCGTGTGGTACTCTGGATTCTGAGGAATGCACTTTGCCGACATTCTGGCTGTCCCTACCGCTGCAGTGACAATGCGAGCTGATTGCTTCTGGGATCTGGCGGGAGGCACGTACAGATGAATTGGAGCTTGTTTCACTTCCAGCTACAGCGCGTCTAGGTCAAGACAGCAAAGTTCGGTTCCCCGCGGTCCCTGACACACTAGTCTGGATGGTGCAGGCCGTTGCCCTGGGGTCAAGGGCAGTCTGACGTGGCACTCCTTTCTTGGAGTCAGAACTGTTGTGCTTCCGAGGGTTTCTCGCGCAGGTCGTGGTCACCGACGAGTATGACCCAAGCCTGCAACCTTTGACCCAGAGGATGGAGAGTCTACATGCTGGCAGCTTACGTTGATGAAGAGCGTCCTTATTGGCAAGATCCAGTTCTATGCATGTCTGAGGTAACCTCAATACTGGGTGCACGCCTGGATGGCGTAGTCGAGTTGCTACAGAAACCCCAATTCTGGACTGAAGCCGAGCTTGACTCTCGACTGGCTGTGCGCCTGGGCGGCATCGTCCACACAACAAGTCAGTCAGTTTTTTCTTGTGCCGGCTTGGATTTTTTGTGCATGAAGCCGAGGCTCGCTGTTTATGATGACATCGGACAGGTGGCACTATCCCCTGCGTTTTCGCATGCATCAGAATGGCACAAAGTGGAGGCTTGAGAGCTGAAAGCGCTGCTGCCAATCTGCTAGCGTGCTCAGAAAGCCATCTCACTCTTCTTGAACTCTTTGCCCTCAGGTATCTTCGAGGCATTTTGTGATTGATGCTCGGGCTCAGAGCCGTTTGGCAAGCGTGTCCTTGAACGGGGGCAACGCAACGGTGTTTGATCTGGGACACGCGGACAGAACTTTGGATTGGGTTGGGGTCAATTCAGCTTCAGGCAGAGAGCGGTGAAGCCGGGAGTATCATGCGGCCGAGGATCCGTGCCAGGTGTTGTCAATGTGTCGGTGAGGGTTTTGGCACGTGACGGATTCCTCCGCACCTACCACTTGGAAGTTTCACTCGCCAAACATTTATCGACCACCTGCAGAGGCCAGCTGTGCAGACATTTTAAAATTCTGGTTGTGGGATAGCACGAGTGACTTTGAACAAGTAGGCATTTGTGTACACGGTGAATGTGACGAGCTTCTGGGCCGATGTGTTTGCGATGATGGCTGGAGCGGAGCTATCTGTGATGATTATTGCCCTGGCTTTCCTGCCTGTGGTGGGCCAGATCGGGGAATGTGTCTATCGCTCATCAACCAGAGCAACTCCTCAAAAAGGACTTGCGGCGCTGTCACATGATTAATTTTCTGGGACACCCGTTTGACACTCCTTGGACTTGTCCCCACCATGGCAGGAGAGAATGCGTCTGCAATCCAGGATTCACTGGAGAAGGCTGCGCCGCACTCTCCTGTCCAGCTTGCCTGAATGGAGGCCGCTGCCTCTTCCAACAGGACCATTGGCTTCTCACTGTGTTAGTTGACAACCTTTACGTTGTAGCTACAGTTGCTGCTACTTCAAGCAGGATGGCTTGAGTGTTCCATTTTGCCAGTGTCCTCCTGATTTTGGCCGGGGCCCTACTCAGTGCAGGGTCAAGCTATGCGATCACTCGGACAGCCACTGGCAGGTGGTGATTCTTGCCAACATCGGCTATGCCATGGAAATTGCAGCGGTGCAGGAGACTGTGTTGGTGGCCGCTGTTCATGCTGGCCGGGGGCCCATGGCGACAGCTGCAATGAGACTTCAGCAGCTGATTTGCATCGGGGTGCGCAGCAAGTGGCAAATTGCCGCCTCAAATGCAAGTCTCTTTGTGGCCCTGTGGTGAGCAAAAGGCATCGCTGGAGCCATTAACGAACTGCGTCCAGATTTCTCTGGTCTGGGGCCACTGGGTGATGATATTGGCACGAAGTTGAATTTCTCGGCATTTCTTTGAAAGCTGGCCATATACACAAAGCATGCAGCCAGGCATTAAAGGCTCGAGGGCGAACAACGTGTCTGCTGCAGAGTATGAGCCATCTTTCGACCTGCTGGATGCACAGGCAGGCTTGGGTGGATCAGTTTTGCTTTGATGGCTGCAGATTCCGAGACCTGTGCAATGCAGCAATGCAGCAATATCTCCTTCTTGTCAGCGGAGGTGCAGTCTTGGCTACTGCAAGTGTGCGAAGCAGCGCGGAATGACACGTTGCTTCTGGTTCGACCAGAGGTGCCATCATGTGCCATCAGTAGCCGATGAACAGGCATAGGACAGAGGCTCCATGGTGTTACGCATGGCATTCCCTGAGTCACGGAGGTGCTCTGCTGGATTGAAGCTTGGCGCAGCTTCGTCCTGAGGGTCGGTGGCAGCTTTCCAGTGACACCAAGGACAGAGTGACGGGTTGTACGGCTTGGGCAGCCTGCGCTCATGCATTCTCATGCGACCCAATGTTGAAGTGCCACCTTGCAACAGTAAAGTGGAGCCAGGGGTAAGCTCAAACTTGGGCCTCAGAGCTGGGTATGGTTTTGGACAGCATGCCCACCGAGCAAACTCCCCATCGGAGTCCATCATGAGATGTGATGAATAAATCAGTTTATGCCTTCTGCTAGATGGTTCAGGAGAATGGCGTCGGAAGCGCTGCAAGCATTTTTCCACCAAGAGGTGTCGGATCTTTTCTTGAAGGATCTTGCAACAGATGCTGAAAACTTTACAGGCCAGTTCTTTGGGAACTTGAGACGTTGGAAACAAGGAAGCCAAGGCTAGAAGCTTTAGTTCGCCCACCTGACAGGACATCCAAAATTTACGGTTATGCGGCTCTTGGTAAATGCTCCGCGCAATGGTGGCCTGCAATTGCGGCCTCGCTGCATGATGTAGCTCGAAAGGTCTCAAGCATCACTGCTTGCTGAGGTTGCAGCCGTTGAAATCCAGATGGATGCGATTTGTGGAAGATCTGAACCGAGCCTGGCTTGAATTCTGCTAGTCGTGAAGCAGCGCATACGTCCAGGAGATGCGAAAGCCGAGGCCGTGCTCCGACTTCAGCGGGGTTTGCCCTGATGGTGTCGCACGCGTGGACTGCAATGGACATGGACTCTTGCCAAAACTGAAATGTGCAGTTACGGATCTCTTTCGGGGCACAAGCTTGCAGAGTTCCTTGCTGCGTTAGCTCAGGAGGAGTCGATCATGTCCAAAACGCTGACATCCGTCATCCTGTCCGTTGGAATTGCGGTCGCTTGCGTTGTCATCTTCAGCCAGAACATCATGATCGGCCTTCTGGTCCTACTGACCATTGTGCTGGATCCTTGTCGGAAGCCTTCCCAATCAGACACCATCGCACTTGCAAGTTACATATCTGCTGATAGCTTAGAGCTTGTCCCCAGTACATAGCTCAGGAAGGCCTCTGCACAAGTTAAGGAAGTATGCCCGCTGTTTGGCTTCCTGTTTGGAGTCATGCGGTATGAATTCGGGGCCATAGAAGCCGTTGGTGTCGTGACCTTCGTTGGTATGAGCGTGGACTACTGCTTGCACTTGGCGCATGGCCACTGGTTCTCACATTAAGGCAGTGTTGCTACTGCACCTTGCTTCTCTTTGTACGAGTCCAGTGAAGCCACCCACTTGCATGCAGAGCTGCAGAGGCTACTATGTCGCAGAGCGGCCATGCCGCAGCGCCGCTCTTCGTATACATGTGCAATTTAGCCATGCTGTCACATTAGCCGTTGACTTCATACAATCCATGCGTTTGCGGCGAAGGAGAAGATGCAGCTCGCACTTGTGAACCTCGGGCCATCCATCCTGGGTGGTGCGCTGACCACCGCTGCAGGAACTGCATTCCTTCTGCCATGCCGCATCGTACTTTTCGTCAAGCTTGGTACGATGCTGGTTCCTCGTCTCGGCAATTACCGGATATTATAAACGTTTTTCAAGGGGATCGGTGAGACACTGTCGCTTTAGGTTGCCAACACCATGCTGCAGCAGCCTTATTGTTCTTTTGATGTGTCAGTGCAACCTGTACCACAATCTTAGCAGTCCTTACTGAGGTCTCTGCTGTACACGTTCCTTTTCCTTGGCCCTTTGCTGATGATTCTGGGACCACTGGGCGATGTTGGCTCATTCTCCTGGCTGCTTGGATAGTGCCACTATTGACGCTTATGCCTTAACGGTATTTAACAGTTACCTGGAGCGAAGCTGCAAATAACAATCTGGGTTTGTCCATATCCGCAAATGAAGGCTTTTGCCGCAGGTCGTGAAAATCGGCAATGTGAGTTAATGTTTGTTGAGCAAGCAGGCCTCACAGAGTCAAGGCTTGGTCGCACTTGCTGTGGATGCTGCAGAAGATGCCGAACTCCAACATGCTTGCGGAGGCAATGCGCAATGACGATTTTTTCTACAGCTTTAGCTGCTTAAGACGGTGGGATAGAGAGTGTCATCCAGCTTCGTGTTGCCACAATTCCATTGCGTTTTCTTTCTTGCACACATACCTTTCGCGATCTGAATTGTTTAAAGACTTGGCTCGGGCATCGAATCATTCATGATGGTACGTATGTGTGTCCCATGTACTTGCAGGCGTCAACCCGCTGTCGGTGATGTACCTCTCACGTCCAAGGGGCAGGACATCTCTTCTAAGAAGTTGCGAAGAAAAAGTCTACTCAAGCTGGTGCTTGCCACGCGTAGTGTGCACGTCAGGAAAGAAAGTCTCGCACAACCAGCATCTCCCATGTGCGAAGGCTGGCCCGCACTTGTTAAACGGACGCTAGAGCAAAAAGCCTGGTACCCGTGTTCCGTGTCCCATTTCGGTGCAGGCTTCAGTCTTCAGTTGCACCTTGTCAGGCAAACGCAGGTTGACATGCCGCTGCAGCCGGTTGAGCACCGTCAAAAGCGCGAGACGAAGGTGGCTGATCCTGCTGTTCTTTGCACGCCTTTCGCCACATTCTTGTGAGGTTCGAATTTTTAATGCTGTCGCTCGCCGGTGCAGCGACTCTTTTTCCGTCACCACATTTCGGTCACACCCCAAACCGACCCTAAATTGCCATTGAAGTAGTCTTCCAAACCCTCCAAAATACCTCCAAATTTCCAAGCAAATACCACAAATTGCTTTTAAAGTAGTCCTCCAGACCCTCCCAGCAACATTTTGTTCATACCCCAAATCGATCCCAAATCGCCTTTAAAGTAGTCTTCCAGATCCTCCAAAACGCTTCCAAATTTCCAAAAAAAAGCCGTCCATTGCTTGTAAAGTAGTCTTCCAGACCCTCCCGCGAACTTGCGGAGAATCTGAAGGTTTAGGTCGAAAGAGTCTAACCGTAAAAGCGGAGAATTTGAAGAGTCAGGGCGAAAGAGTCTAACCATAAAAGCGGCGAATCTTAAGGGTTAGGGCGGAAGAGTGTCACCGTAAAAGCCGAGAATTTGAAAGGCTGGGGCGAAAGAGTCTGACTATAAAAGCGGAGAATTTGAAGGGTTGGGGCGAAAGAGTCTAACCGTAAAAGCTGAGAGTTTTAAGAGTTACGGCGAAAGAGTCTAAGAGTAAAAGCGGAGAATCCGAAGGGCTAGGGCGAAAGCGTCTAACCATAAACGTGGAGAATTTAAAGGGTTAGGGCGAAAGAGTCCAACCGTAAAAGCGGAGAATGCGAAAGGTTAGGGCGAGAGAGTCTAGACCTCAAACCCTCCCCGCGCAACTCCCACTTCGATTCGTCGCCGATTGCAATCTTTTTGGCATATCTTTTCGAAAAAACAAGTCTTCTTCTTTTTGCTATATATCCTTCAGATTCCGGTAAAGCTGCGCAACGTGGGGTTATTTGGTCCTTGCTGAATGTGAGGTCCGTTTTGACAGAGACATGGCCATGGGAGATGATGGAACGCCACTGCAGCTGCGCATACATGACTGACAACTTTTGATAGGGACACTGTATGGTTACCCAAGTCCAAAACGTCAGAGCAATCACGCGGCCGCGGCTTAACTGAGGTCCAGCTTTCGAGAGTCACGGCAGCTGGGAAAGGGATCGACAAAGCGAATTGACAGGAGATGAGCTGCAGCCCTGACATTGCCCAAACGCCGTTGAAAAATGTCAATTTCGCAGGAAAAGCTCTCGATTACAACGCAAGAGCTCGGTTCCGAGTTGTTGCGCCCTGCTGTTGCCTGCTGTTCGCGAAGTGGTCCATTTAGAATGTCGCGGAGTACGTGGCTTTGACTGAAAACCTCCGAACTCCATCGCAGTGGCCAGGTGAGGCCCAGAGCACCGGTGAGGTTGTTGGCGACGTGTCCTGACCCAGCTGCCACTCAAATTCATGCATGCAGCAGCGAATGCCTGAGGCTTCCTGCAAGGTCGGCTGCTGACAAATTTTTGACTGGATGTGAGTATAGACCGGATGCAGAGCGGTTTTTCATCCAGCTCATTCTCATTCTCCAGCTGTTGCTGATGCATGGAATTCACCACCTCACCTTGAGGTATGTGGAACTCCCTGTTTCTACTACCGGTCGCGAAGCCCTTCGGGCACGTGATGGTGGTCGCTTTTCTAACTTGCATGCGCAGCACAGGACAAGGGATCCATGTCGTGGGTTTCCCTTTTGGCATGAGGCAGGGATGTGTTTGGCAAAAGACCGTCGTCAGTTGCACTTTACGAGACAGGCCGGAACTGTAGAATGCATGAGCGGCATAGGCGCGGTAGCAGCATGATGGAAGGTCGAAGAGCACTACAGGCAACACGCGGCAAGATGAGTTTTGAATGCTTTGTTTCCAAATTGACGGCTCCAGATGAGTTTGCTTGCCTTTCGTTCTTTGACCCCAAAGCTGGGATAGGCTGGCTCGTGGGTTCCCCGTCATGCCCTCCAGTTATCATGGGGACTTTCCAAGCTGTTTTGGAACAGTGAAGCTTCCACAAGGAAATTTCCCCTAACAGATGCTTTACCTAAAGCTCAGGCAAGGCCGCTTGGTGTTTGGTCGAGCATGGTCGGTCGAGCAATTGCTTCGCATACCTGGCTCAGCTTTGCATTCAAATGCTGGGTTCCTTGCACAGAGCTATGAGCCCATATTGGCATTGGCAACTTTCGCAGTTCCACGGGCAATCTTTTGCGGTTGAAATAGCTGAAAGTAGCTGGCAATTTTAGTAGTTCATCTTTCAAATGAGTCGCGGCTGTAGAGCTCTCCACTAGTGAAGCAACACATTAACAGGGCTGAACGGTGTTGAATCTGGATCGCCAGCCATGACCCTGAGTGATCTGCCTCAGGCGCCCAAAGTCACTAGCGGGCTTGTCCAGATTGCTTGGACGACTGATTGGGAGCCAAACGTTTTGTGAGGCCTTGGTCATTTCGGGTGCTGGCATTCAGGACGTCTGCTCAGAACATACATCTTTTGGGCATGCAGATGCTTTTCCATGCGCTTCTTTTAGCAGTGCGCTCTGATTGGTGGGCTACCCCTTGCATCCCTCCCCGGTTTGGGTGATAGGGATCTGAAGCGATGCATCTGCCATCTTGCGGGCTCACAGCCATTCAGTAGGAAGGAAGCACAGCAAGTGCTTTCAGTATTGGCAGGCCTCGCTGCAAAAGCACATGCAGACTTGAGCTTCTTTATTGCCTCGTGATCGATTACAAGAATTGCTGACTGCTGTAGCCGTGTGCGATGCTCTGTGTGTATCAGCCGCGGTGCCGCCCACGTAGTGTGGCAGTTTTTCCTAAGACCCTTCAAAGCTGGTGTAGTTCCCCATATGCTCGCTTTGAAAAATGTGGTCGTGGATTCAACAGATCAAGAGATGAACAAAACTGGACAATGTGCTGCAGCTGGAGGTAAGTAAGGAAGGAATGAAATCGGGACAGGAGGAAATATCGTGCAGGCTTGCGAGCAAATAACGGCAATGTTAGGTTGTAACAAATTGCAGACACTGGACCGTTGAAACAGTTAAAACTTTCTGAGGTTGCGGATGGTGAGCAACGTGATTTATGGCATTTTACAGCGTTTAAATGCATCTAAGACGAAAGGTCTTGCAGGCCTGTAGGTGCTGCGAGTAACAGCTTTCAGTGCTTCTCAGGCCTTGAAAAGCTGCGGCTACTTGGAATTCCTCAAACGTTGCAGAGACTGATTTCCGGCTGTATGTGCAGCTCTTTCTGGTCTCCGAGTGCTACAAATGCCCATACTTTGAAGACAATTTTTTTTGCCGATCATCATATTTGGCTTTTTATATTCAGTGACCTTTTCCCACTTTTTGATCCCTCACCCTGCTGCTTCCGTGCTTGATGAGATATTTTCAACATGATGATAGCTCACGGTCTGAGCAAGTTAACAAGCATGGGGCAATCCATGAGGATGCCAACGGGGTCTACAAAGCAACTGGTCGAGAATACTGTGATGCGCCGGCACCCTTGTCACATTGCCCCGGATGGCTTGGACATTGCTTTTTTTCTTATATCGTCTGGGATTGGGACGACATGAACTCGCCAGGTCTACGAACATGTGGAGCGCGGACAGAATCTGAAAATCACTCGGGAGCCGCACAAGAACCCGATTCTTAGCTTTAGCTGGATGGATGCTTCAAGACACAAATTCTGATTCTGTGTAAGGAAGACCGGTGCCATCAAGGCCAGGGTTGCTGCGCCTGTGGAATTGCGTTGCCGTGTTCCGCCTGTCCTCGTTGCAGCATGGTTGGCTGCTGGGCCAGAGTGGCCGTCCCCTCTATGGTGCTGGATGCTCAGAATGCTTTGCTGCGTAGATTCTTGCCAATTCTAATAGCGTTGTGGCCTTGTTTTGGAGGCTCCCACGGAGTCTCTGGCAGTTCCTGCTTCAGGCTGGAAGAAGTCTGGGCCTTGTTGCACCTTGGACACGATTCGCAGCATTGGTGGGTCGTCTTGCTACTTTTTTTCAGGTTGGCTTCGGGAAGCATTTGACAAAACAAACATACTACCCAATTGCAACAACAAAAACAACAACTAGTATTATCAGTCGTAGTAGTAGCAGCAGTAGTAGTAGTAGTCATTTCCGGTATTGGAAGCCCCAATTCTTTTTTTAAAGCTTTCGCACTCAGAACCTGCATTTCGGAGGCAAACACGTGTATCGGCCTAGCACACTCGAGTTCTTTTCTGTTTTTGATCTTGACGGTTCCCCGCTGTTGAATGTTCAAAATGCCAGTTTCGGCACCTTGGCGTGTTTTTCCATTCGCCCGCTGTCGTTTTGCGGGTAGCAAGTGCCGCGCCTTTTTGTTTTTCGGATGTGCTTCTCCGAGTGCATACGGTGGCTCGGGTAGGAGGGGTGGTTACGTGCAAGCCACGTACAGCGATTCGTGTTCTATGAGACAACTTCGAGGCTCTCGCATTGCACGTGTAGAGTCCTACATGAAGGCCCCTTCAAAAAGCAAGGGCTTCTCCAAACAAAAACGGACTGGTTTCTTTCCATCTTCCATGCTGTCGTATGCTCAAAACCACAGTGTCGGCACATTCGAGGACCCTTTCCATGCCTCCGCCCTCATTTGAAAAATCCGAAGTGAAAGTGCGGAACCCCAAAAGCCCCTTGCAAGCAAAACGCACAGTGAACATATACAACCCCAACGGCCCTTTCCACGGGCAAAACCTGAAGTATGAATATAGAGATCCTTACGCATTTTATGAAACGAACTAAACGTACGCAAACGTGAGGAACGCCCGCATTCTTAAAACTTACTTTTTATTTTTTTGGCAACGTAACCACAATATACACCAATTTCGGCACGATCAACATCCACGGCTCGTAATGGACTGTGTACCCCCTTGTCATAGTAGTAATGGTAGTAGTAGTAATAGCAGCAGTAGTGGCAGCAGTAGCAGCAGCAGTAGCAGCAGCAGTAGCAGCAGTAGGAGTAGAAGTAGGAGGAGCAGTAGTAGTAGCAGTAGTGGTACCAGTAGTAGTAGGTAGTACGAGCAGTAGGAGTAGGAGGAGTAGTAGTAGAAGTAGGTGGTGGTAGTGGTAGTGGTAGTGGAAGTGGTAGTGCTGGTGGTAGTGGTAGTGGTAGCGGTAGTAGTAGTAGTAGTAGTAGAAGTAGTAGTAGTAGTAGCAACAACAGCAGCAGTCTAAGCGCCTTGAATCGATGTTGGGTCTAAATGCGTATT